GGTGGTGACTTTAATACAGTTTTAGACCTAATTTTAGATTGGTTTAGTAACTTAGTTAATACAAGATATTCGCAGGGTTCCCGTGGGTCCTTAAAAAGTCTTAAATTGAGTTGTATCAAATTGTTAATTATGATTTCAAGAGGTCTTAAATTTAGGGACAGAAAGACCAGAATTACGATATGGCTTAATGTGACGATTAAACTTCAAAAGGCTATGATTTCAATAAATAAACATGATCGCTGCACGTTTCAAAGTCCAGTGCTGCGTTGCTTTGTGTACTGCCCTTACCGGGGAAACAGTTATATATTTGCCATTCCGAAAGCACAACCTGCTGGTAGACAATGAATGTGCATTTGATAAGCCTGTTGTTTTTGTTCAGACCAATGCAAAAATCGATCCATGTTTTTACCCTGCAAACACGCAGAGCTGTAAATGTGAACTGGTGGATCGATAAGAAGATAATGCATTTTAAAAATCTAAACAGTAAAATGCATGTACATGTTATTTAATTAATATAATAATTTATTGACTAATCATTGAAATTAATATAATAATTAATACTTTTGACTCATCCATTTTCTTAAAAATGGTTTAAAGGCTGAAATGTGAAATGTATCATGCTTTGTATAGTCATGTTACAGTTTAATATGCTACAGTTGCTGTAGACATTGCCCTGTCCCGCTTATATGGTTATAATTTTATTTGTGCAGGACTTAAAAAGTCTTAAATTTGAGCTTAAAAATCCTGCAGAAACGTCTCGGTTACGTATGTAACCCTCGTTCCCTGAAGGAGGGAACGGAGACGTCACGTCCCGTCGCCACAGCTCCTGTACCACCGCTGAGCGGCCGGGTCACCGGCTCGGCTCCTCAGCGAAAACCTGAATATGCGCTGCACCTGCTGCCTACTTATACTCACGCTGTGATCAGCAGCAGCTGGATGCAATAATCGCATGCCAATGTGCATTGGCTCGTTTAGTTTACACTCGAAGTAGATTGGTCCCTCTAAGCGAGATCCCAATTTCGTCGGTCCTCCGACGTGACGTCGAGAGTGACCGACTGAAAGGGAACGTCTCGGTTACGTATGTAACCCTCGTTCCCTGAAGGAGGGAACGGAGACGTCACGTCCCGTCGCCACAGCTCCTGTACCACCGCTGAGCGGCCGGGTCACCGGCTCGGCTCCTCAGCGAAAACCTGAATATGCGCTGCACCTGCTGCCTACTTATACTCACGCTGTGATCAGCAGCAGCTGGATGCAATAATCGCATGCCAATGTGCATTGGCTCGTTTAGTTTACACTCGAAGTAGATTGGTCCCTCTAAGCGAGATCCCAATTTCGTCGGTCCTCCGACGTGACGTCGAGAGTGACCGACTGAAAGGGAACGTCTCGGTTACGTATGTAACCCTCGTTCCCTGAAGGAGGGAACGGAGACGTCACGTCCCGTCGCCACAGCTCCTGTACCACCGCTGAGCGGCCGGGTCACCGGCTCGGCTCCTCAGCGAAAACCTGAATATGCGCTGCACCTGCTGCCTACTTATACTCACGCTGTGATCAGCAGCAGCTGGATGCAATAATCGCATGCCAATGTGCATTGGCTCGTTTAGTTTACACTCGAAGTAGATTGGTCCCTCTAAGCGAGATCCCAATTTCGTCGGTCCTCCGACGTGACGTCGAGAGTGACCGACTGAAAGGGAACGTCTCGGTTACGTATGTAACCCTCGTTCCCTGAAGGAGGGAACGGAGACGTCACGTCCCGTCGCCACAGCTCCTGTACCACCGCTGAGCGGCCGGGTCACCGGCTCGGCTCCTCAGCGAAAACCTGAATATGCGCTGCACCTGCTGCCTACTTATACTCACGCTGTGATCAGCAGCAGCTGGATGCAATAATCGCATGCCAATGTGCATTGGCTCGTTTAGTTTACACTCGAAGTAGATTGGTCCCTCTAAGCGAGATCCCAATTTCGTCGGTCCTCCGACGTGACGTCGAGAGTGACCGACTGAAAGGGAACGTCTCGGTTACGTATGTAACCCTCGTTCCCTGAAGGAGGGAACGGAGACGTCACGTCCCGTCGCCACAGCTCCTGTACCACCGCTGAGCGGCCGGGTCACCGGCTCGGCTCCTCAGCGAAAACCTGAATATGCGCTGCACCTGCTGCCTACTTATACTCACGCTGTGATCAGCAGCAGCTGGATGCAATAATCGCATGCCAATGTGCATTGGCTCGTTTAGTTTACACTCGAAGTAGATTGGTCCCTCTAAGCGAGATCCCAATTTCGTCGGTCCTCCGACGTGACGTCGAGAGTGACCGACTGAAAGGGAACGTCTCGGTTACGTATGTAACCCTCGTTCCCTGAAGGAGGGAACGGAGACGTCACGTCCCGTCGCCACAGCTCCTGTACCACCGCTGAGCGGCCGGGTCACCGGCTCGGCTCCTCAGCGAAAACCTGAATATGCGCTGCACCTGCTGCCTACTTATACTCACGCTGTGATCAGCAGCAGCTGGATGCAATAATCGCATGCCAATGTGCATTGGCTCGTTTAGTTTACACTCGAAGTAGATTGGTCCCTCTAAGCGAGATCCCAATTTCGTCGGTCCTCCGACGTGACGTCGAGAGTGACCGACTGAAAGGGAACGTCTCGGTTACGTATGTAACCCTCGTTCCCTGAAGGAGGGAACGGAGACGTCACGTCCCGTCGCCACAGCTCCTGTACCACCGCTGAGCGGCCGGGTCACCGGCTCGGCTCCTCAGCGAAAACCTGAATATGCGCTGCACCTGCTGCCTACTTATACTCACGCTGTGATCAGCAGCAGCTGGATGCAATAATCGCATGCCAATGTGCATTGGCTCGTTTAGTTTACACTCGAAGTAGATTGGTCCCTCTAAGCGAGATCCCAATTTCGTCGGTCCTCCGACGTGACGTCGAGAGTGACCGACTGAAAGGGAACGTCTCGGTTACGTATGTAACCCTCGTTCCCTGAAGGAGGGAACGGAGACGTCACGTCCCGTCGCCACAGCTCCTGTACCACCGCTGAGCGGCCGGGTCACCGGCTCGGCTCCTCAGCGAAAACCTGAATATGCGCTGCACCTGCTGCCTACTTATACTCACGCTGTGATCAGCAGCAGCTGGATGCAATAATCGCATGCCAATGTGCATTGGCTCGTTTAGTTTACACTCGAAGTAGATTGGTCCCTCTAAGCGAGATCCCAATTTCGTCGGTCCTCCGACGTGACGTCGAGAGTGACCGACTGAAAGGGAACGTCTCGGTTACGTATGTAACCCTCGTTCCCTGAAGGAGGGAACGGAGACGTCACGTCCCGTCGCCACAGCTCCTGTACCACCGCTGAGCGGCCGGGTCACCGGCTCGGCTCCTCAGCGAAAACCTGAATATGCGCTGCACCTGCTGCCTACTTATACTCACGCTGTGATCAGCAGCAGCTGGATGCAATAATCGCATGCCAATGTGCATTGGCTCGTTTAGTTTACACTCGAAGTAGATTGGTCCCTCTAAGCGAGATCCCAATTTCGTCGGTCCTCCGACGTGACGTCGAGAGTGACCGACTGAAAGGGAACGTCTCGGTTACGTATGTAACCCTCGTTCCCTGAAGGAGGGAACGGAGACGTCACGTCCCGTCGCCACAGCTCCTGTACCACCGCTGAGCGGCCGGGTCACCGGCTCGGCTCCTCAGCGAAAACCTGAATATGCGCTGCACCTGCTGCCTACTTATACTCACGCTGTGATCAGCAGCAGCTGGATGCAATAATCGCATGCCAATGTGCATTGGCTCGTTTAGTTTACACTCGAAGTAGATTGGTCCCTCTAAGCGAGATCCCAATTTCGTCGGTCCTCCGACGTGACGTCGAGAGTGACCGACTGAAAGGGAACGTCTCGGTTACGTATGTAACCCTCGTTCCCTGAAGGAGGGAACGGAGACGTCACGTCCCGTCGCCACAGCTCCTGTACCACCGCTGAGCGGCCGGGTCACCGGCTCGGCTCCTCAGCGAAAACCTGAATATGCGCTGCACCTGCTGCCTACTTATACTCACGCTGTGATCAGCAGCAGCTGGATGCAATAATCGCATGCCAATGTGCATTGGCTCGTTTAGTTTACACTCGAAGTAGATTGGTCCCTCTAAGCGAGATCCCAATTTCGTCGGTCCTCCGACGTGACGTCGAGAGTGACCGACTGAAAGGGAACGTCTCGGTTACGTATGTAACCCTCGTTCCCTGAAGGAGGGAACGGAGACGTCACGTCCCGTCGCCACAGCTCCTGTACCACCGCTGAGCGGCCGGGTCACCGGCTCGGCTCCTCAGCGAAAACCTGAATATGCGCTGCACCTGCTGCCTACTTATACTCACGCTGTGATCAGCAGCAGCTGGATGCAATAATCGCATGCCAATGTGCATTGGCTCGTTTAGTTTACACTCGAAGTAGATTGGTCCCTCTAAGCGAGATCCCAATTTCGTCGGTCCTCCGACGTGACGTCGAGAGTGACCGACTGAAAGGGAACGTCTCGGTTACGTATGTAACCCTCGTTCCCTGAAGGAGGGAACGGAGACGTCACGTCCCGTCGCCACAGCTCCTGTACCACCGCTGAGCGGCCGGGTCACCGGCTCGGCTCCTCAGCGAAAACCTGAATATGCGCTGCACCTGCTGCCTACTTATACTCACGCTGTGATCAGCAGCAGCTGGATGCAATAATCGCATGCCAATGTGCATTGGCTCGTTTAGTTTACACTCGAAGTAGATTGGTCCCTCTAAGCGAGATCCCAATTTCGTCGGTCCTCCGACGTGACGTCGAGAGTGACCGACTGAAAGGGAACCCTGATTCGTTATCATCAACAATAATAAAGCAATATATGAAAGAACTGGGCTTTGGGGACTGCTGAAGAATTAAGTATGAGACAGCAAGAGAATGCTTTTTTTCTTCTCTACATAAGTCATTTTCATGAAATTATTATTATTATTATTATTATTATTAGTAGTAGTAGTAATTCTAGTATCAAAAATATTGTTAATATTAAAATTCACCCTATAATGATTAGTGAACATGCACTTAAATGGGGACCTATTATGCAAAAATCCCTTTTATAAGGTGTTTGAACAGTTGTGTGGCCGCAGTGTGTGAAACAATCAGCCTATAATGGTAAAAATTCACCCACTCATTTTTTATAATCCCAATAAATCATAAACAGTCTCTCAGAACTGGAAGTGATTCCAGATTCTCGTACACGTCATCATAGGGAGAAATCCCTGCCATTTGTGACGCTCTCTGCCCTATTAGCATAGACACAGTCCTGAGTAAGAAGCAGCAGTCTGCCATTAGTTTTCTTGCTGTAGCTGCTTGTCAGTGCCAAAGAGGCATTAGAAGTTTTGTGTTTTGGGATGCACAAATGAACATAGGAGTGCTGAGGACACTGTGGTTAAGTTTTATTTTCGAAGGAAATGTCCTGGAAAAAAATCGGTAAAGTCCTATATGATTGTGCCAATCATTTTATGCCAGACTGTCTTACAAACGAGGGTCATTTCAAAGCTGAATTTTTGCAAAAGTTGATTCTGGAAGAGGGATCAATACCACCGCTTTGTGTGTGCCTTGAACCTCAGCTCCAGACAAAGTAAGCGTATCATATTTTGTTACCATTGTCGCTGCCTGTTTTCACTGATGCTGCCTTCATGTGCTACCAGAATGATTGTAAATAGGAATGTAGTAGGTCACCTTTAAATCACTAAATTTACAGACTGATTGTCTTAAAGGAGTGGTTGATTGTGATTTAACTTTTTTAACTTTATTTAGTGTGTAATGTTGCTGTTTGAGCATAAACAATATCTGCAAAATTACGACGCTGTAAGTTGCAAACAGAGATATTGTCTTTTAAAATTATGGCAGTTTAATGCCTACAGTTATGGTTCATAGGGACTAAAACGAGCTACTTCCCAGGTTGGTGACATCACAATCCCTGAAATTTACATAAACCCCACCCCTGAGAACATGCAACAAAGGGGGCGAGGACATGTCGCACTGCAAGAAGAGGAAGAGTTGTTGCCATGCTGTCAAAACTAGGGGTGCACAAAAAAAATAGATTCATATATGAACCACGATTCTGTTTTCTAACGATTCTTCAAAATCAGTGTTCTAAGTTTCAAAATCAATGTTCTAAAGCAGCAGTTCTTAATCCTGTTCCTCACGTCCCCATGCTCTGCACACGCTCTGCTCTGCATCTCTCTCTCATCTGATTCAGATAATCGGCTCGTCAGCTCCATCCATAAACTGTGTTCCAATTATACACTTTATGTGTATAGACAGACAGATATTTTTCACATAGCTATGAGAAGCGTTAAACATGGACGAGCACGCAGTTGCCGTAGAGAGAAATACTTGCTGGCAAACACTTCTTACTGCTAAAAAAATGCCACAATACAATCATGTATTCTGCTGTATTAAAGCTTTAATCAGGATAAAACCGTATATTAGAAGCTAACATAAGCAGTAGCATTTACAAATAGTAGGGTATCTAAAATATGAGACGAACAACAATAAAAAAAAAAACATACCATTCTGAAACACCCTGTAAGAGCCGTGCTTGCACAGGTTCTGCGCGATCCTCTTTACTAATATTCTCTGAGTCTCAATCAGGCTCAAACTGATAAGCAATATTGACGACAACATTGTTTACAATACAACACCGGAGCATATGCCACTGAGGTGAGGGGCGTGACGTTTCTGGACTGCACTAGGTGGTTTAGTGAATTACAACACACTAGGGCAGCTAACCAATCTCAGCCCATTGTGTATTTCTGAGGGAGGGGCTTCATAAAACCAGGAAATCATCAGAGCGTTCATAGGAGAAGGAACAGAGAGAATGAAGGTAAATTATGTGAAAAATAATGCGTTTTTTAAAAATGAAGCATTAACACATGTTAGACTGCTGCCCATAAACACAATCTATGGATTGAAAAAAGCAGTCAACCTAGAAAAAAAACAGTCAACCACTGTGTGATAACGATCGGGATGATGACATCATCACCAAAGCACCAGCTTAATATCTGACTGTTTGTGTTGTGGCTGAAGGCTGAAACTGTTTGATTTGAAGTGCATGTCTGCTGTGAGATGTGTTTAAACCGAGCGGCAACCTCCCGCTCTCTCTCGTGAAGCCAACAAGGAAGTGACTTAAACTGTAATTCGTCAACTGGCCGCTAGAGGCTGGCTGCAAAAGGGAGTCAATTCCATAGACTCCCCATGTTAAAATGCCCAACTTTACAGCAGAAAAAAACATGTTTACAGCCTGGTTCAAAAAATTATTTTGGTCTATATAGCTAATTTTGCCCTTCATGACAACTGAGGGGGGTGAATTTTTTTATAACTCATCCGCTTAAATTATATTAAGCCTTAAAGTTTACTTTTGAGTAAACTTTAAGTGACAGTTAAAGTCACTTGAGTGACAGGTGGATTGCCGCTGCCGTCACCACCGTCGAGCTAGGTGGGCGTGGCTTCAGCAACCGTATGAAATAATGTCTGTGTGCATGTGTGTAAAACAACAAACTGACGATTTATATATAATCATTTGTAATTGTATATACATTGTTGTGATTAATTGTGGCTGGAACAATAATGTAGCTCTAAAAATAGTTGCCTGTTGAAATTGGAATGTATATACATCTTCATCATGACTAGATAGACACGGTGAGTTTGTCTTTACTATACACGTTAGATGTGATCCACCTCATAGTAACAATCCTGTCAGATCGTCCATCCTTTGAGTGAGAGTGTAACGTTACAGGTCGGCCGATCTGGTTTCGTGGTTAAAGTTAACCTTTTCAACATGTTTCCCTGTTGTCGTTGCTCAGCAATAGCATTGACGCGATGTTGTCTGGAGGTTTGGCAAAAGGAGATTGAGACTGTGGGCAGTGCTCGGGGTGGTGGCTGAAGGCGGTGACTGAGTAGTTCTGATGTCAACTTTTTACGGAAGTCACAACTGTTCGTGAAAAATCACAGCTACTTTAAGCAGGCTGTGTGAATTTTACTGTGGACTGACTGTTTTGAAACTTATATGGTAGTTACATAGCACCTAGACCTCAGTTATCATGAAAAAAGCCAGGAAATTTCAGTTTTGACAATATGGGACCATTAAAACGTCTTGAAAAAAATTTGTCTTTTTCTAGTAATTTTTTTTTATTAAAAACCACTAGAACAGTGTTATATATTTTGCTGACTTGTGTACTTACATTATCCCAAATATCCCAAATG